TGAAACTGACTGTAAAGACTTTGGCTCCATGGCGATTAAACTGTATTCGTGTGGTCTGAGCGCTATTCGCTTAATAATGTGCGCTCAGACCTGAGCTATCTGGGGATATGTTAAATGTATAGTTTTAATGTAATGTGTCTTACATGGTGTATTTTAACAGTAATGCTTGTTTTAATATCCCCACGTGCATAATGGCGATTTGCCTTTGTCTTGGGAGATAATTGAATTAATTCTCAATTATCTCCCAGGGCAGAGGGGAGGAAGCCAGGATGCATTGTGGGAATACAATGTGACTGTGTGTCCTACAATGTGACTGTGTGTCCTATTTGTCTACTTGTCTGTCCCTTGTCACAGTCTCCCATTTGGTCCCCTAGGTGCCCTGCATAAAAGCCGGGCAGCTAGCCCTCATTAAACAGACCACTGCTTGACCCTCAACGCGGAGCCTTGTCTCGTCTTTGGGGGGATTTACTGAATGCTGATAGAGACTGATTGCTAGGAGTGTAAGCCGCTTGGATGCTTTTCCTATTTGTCTGGTAGCAGCAATTCGTATGGTTCCTGTTCGTCTGTTTGGAGTGCTCTATTGGATGCCGTTCGGGAGTTTGCAGCATTCACTTATTGGCGGCTCGTGTCTTTGGTGTTCTGCAGTAGCTGTGCCTGCATCTCTGGAAAGGGGGCCGATCGCCTAAACGTTTATTTCCCCTTTTGTGCAAAACAGTCCGTTACAGGCAGAATCAGAGCCCGAGGCAGAATATTAGGATATGTGGCCTGTCCGAACTGTACACCATCCCTATACCAGAGAAGCTTGAGTCCTTGTTCTACCATATTTTGGGACAGGAGGCCCCGGTAAAAATGCTCTTTGACAGAGCCAACCAGGCACTGGGTCCACTGAGGTAAGATTGTTGTAGCCAATAGAGTATACTTAAATACTCTGTACTTGGACCCATTCTCTTTAATATTTTTATAGTGATATTGCAGAAGGTCTTGATGGTAAGGTATGTGCAAAAATAGGAAAGATCTTACTTACAATTTACAGAGCTTAATCCAGCTCTGGTGTGGATAGCTTGCAGCGGTATTATCCCCGCTTATAGGATATACGGCAGATGTCCTCTTCTTTGTAGTGCCGGGTGGTCGAAGTTGGGAAAAATAAAATGAAAACAGTAATGGTGCAGTATATTCAACACTTGTTTAAAAAGTTGTATAAAATATGATGGATACACTCACATTCTGTAGAGCTTTGACTAGCTCTAGTTGGTTAGGCGTACAGCGGTATCATCCCCGCTTCTAGGATATATGATGAGTGATCTTGACGGAATATCAGGAGCTCAGAGAGAAAGTAAAACAGCGATAGCGCTCTCAATAAAATCTTGATAAAAAAAAATTAAAATAAATAAAATATACTCACAATGTATAGGGCAGACTAACTGCTCTATGTTACTGCGTGGGTGGTATGATCCCCACCTAGGATTCTTGGAGTGTAGTTTTCAGGACTTTTAAAAATAAATAAATAAATAAAAGAAGTATATAATATAAAATGAATATAAAATATATTAAAAGTTTGTAAAATAGCCAGGTAATAGAAAAGATAAAACAGTAAAAATATCCAAACGCATTTCGCCAATATAGGGCTTTATCAATGGATAAAGCCCTATATTGGCGAAACGCGTTTGGATATTTTTACTGTTTTATATACTGTTAATAAAAGATTTTGGTCATTTTTACGTTTTAACCATCATCTTTTCTATTACCTGGCTATTTTATAAACGTTTTAATATATTTTATATTCATTTTATATTTTATACTTCTTTTATTTTTTTATTTTTTTTAAAAGTCCTGAAAACTACACTCCAAGAATCCTAGGTGGGGATCATACCACCCACGCTGTAACATAGAGCAGTTAGTCTGCCCCATACATTGTGAGTATATTTTATTTATTTTAATTTTTTTTTATCAAGATTTTATTGAGAGCACTATCGCTGTTTTACTTTCTCTCTGAGCTCCTGATATTCCGGTCAAGATCACTCATCATATATCCTAGAAGCGGGGATGATACCGCTGTACGCCTAACCAACTAGAGCTAGTCAAAGCTCTACAGAATGTGAGTGTATCCATCATATTTTATATAACTTTTTATATAAGTGTTGAATATACTGCACCATTACTGTTTTCATTTTATTTTTCCCAACTCCGACCACCCGGCACTACAAAGAAGAGGACACCTGCCGTATATCCTATAAGCGGGGATAATACCGCTGCAAGCTATCCACACCAGAGCTGGATTAAGCTCTGTAAATTGTAAGTAAGATCTTTCCTATTTTTGCACATATTTGGACTCTCCACGACACCGACATCTTCTGGATACTACCAAAAGTAGAACTTTGTACACGATAATATACATCCTATCGGACTTAATAGGGATCGACCGATATTGATTTTTTAGAGCCGATACCGATACCGATAATCTGCAAACTTTCAGGTCGATAGCCGATATCTTGCCGATATTCTGTACATTTACTATTTTGAATAAATAAACTAATTCGAAAGGTAAATGCACAAAATATACATGCCACATGTAGTGGATGAAGTGTTTTTAGACAGGGGAACTGTGTGTAGTGGATGCAGAGTGTGTATTTGTGTAGTGTGTGTATAATGAATGTAGTGTGTATATAATGCAGTGTGTGTAGTGTGTATATAATGCAGTGTGTTTATGTATTGTGTGTGTGTATAATGCAGTGTGTTTTTGTGTGTTTGTGTAGTGTGTATGTGTATGTATGTAATGCAGTGTGTGTATGTGTAGTGTGTATGTAATGCAGTGTGTGTGTATGTAATGCAGTGTGTGTGCAGTGTAGTGTGTGCAGTGTGTGTGTCTAATGCAGTATGTGTGCAGTGTGTGTTTGTGTAGTGTGTGTTTGTGGTGTGTGTATATGTAATGCAGTGTGTGTGTGTGTCTGTGTAGTGTGTATATGTAATGCAGTGTGTGTGTCTGTGTAGTGTGTGTATGTAATGCAGTATGTGTGTGTCTGTGTAGTGTGTGTATGTAATGCAGTGTGTGTGTGTGTGTCTGTGTAGTGTGTATGCAATGCAGTATGTGTGTGTCTGTAGTGTGTGTATGTAATGCAGTGTGTGTGTCTGTGTAGTGTGTATGTAATGCAGTATGTGTGTGTCTGTGTAGTGTGTGTATGTAATGCAGTGTGTGTGTGTGTGTGTCTGTGTAGTGTGTATGTAATGCAGTGTGTGTGTGTGTCTGTGTAGTGTGTATGTATTGCAGTATGTGTGTATGTAATGCAGTGTGTGTGTCTAATGCAGTATGTGTGCAGTGTGTGTCTGTGTAGTGTGTGTCTGTGTAGTGTGTATATGTAATGTAGTGTGTGTATGTAATGCAGTGTGTGTGTGTCTGTGTAGTGTGTATGTAATGCAGTATGTGTGTATGTAATGCAGTATGTGTGCAGTGTGTTTGTGTGTGTGTAGTGATGTAATTTGTGTAATTTTTTATTTTAATATTTAAATGTTTTTTTTGTTTAGTCCCCCCCCCCAGAGTGTGTTTGTGTAGAGTGTGTTTGTGTAGAGTGTGTTTGTGTGGAGTGTGTTTGTGTGGAGTGTGTTTGTGTGGAGTGTGTTTGTGTGGAGTGTGTTTGTGTGGTGTGTGTTTGTGTAGTGTGTGTTTGGGTGTGTGTGGAGTGATGTAATTTGTGTAATTTTTTATTTTAATATTTTTTTTAATATTTAAAAATGTTTTTATTTTTTGTTTAGTCCCCCCTCCCTGCTTCTTACCAGGGAGGGGGATATAGTATCCCCTGGTGGTCCAGTGGCTTGTTAAGTACAGTGGTGGCTCAGCAGCAGCAAGCGCTGACTTACCTTGCAAGCAGCTCCTACAGCTCCCTGTGTAAATCTCGCGGCTCTTAGTGCCGCGCGGAGCGTTGCCATGGTAACCCGTGGCAACGCTCTGCGGCCGCGGGTCTCGCGAGATTTACACAGGGAGGAGCTGCATGCAAGGTAAGTCAGCGCTTGCTGCTGGCCCCCACAGGACCGCCGGGCTTGTAATGGGCCCGGCGGTCCTGTTATATATTATCGGCAATATCGGTATCTGAATTGGCCGATACCGATATTGCCGAAAATACCAAATATCGGCCGATAATATCGGCCAGACCGATAATCGGTCGATCCCTAGGACTTAATACTCAGTGTACACACCGACGCAGACCCATCCCCTCATCCTTTCTCGCTCTTTATCACTGATTTTCAAGGACACTAGAGGGAGTCCTTGTTTGGGACTGCTGCCTTCCCGATTAGCGCTGACTCTACCCCCTGTTCTGTTAATTATATTTAAAAGATGAAAATCTACCACAACAAGAGTACATAGTCTTAAATTAGAGGGGCAAAGGCTTAATAGTAATATCAGGAAGTATTACTTTACTGAGAGGGTAGTGGATGCATGGAATAGCCTTGAAGCTGAAGTGGTAGAGGTTAACACAGTGAAGGAGTTTAAGCAAGTCTGGGATAGGCATAAGGCTCTCTTAGCTATAAAATAATGCTAGGTACTAATAGAATGTTTGCCTATCAAATTTACCCACAATCTATCCGTAAAACCAATTTTACAGAAGAGCATAAACGAGTACAAGTGGCAAGGAGGGGATTGTAATCAATTAGATAGAGGGACATTAGAAAAGTAAACCTGAAGAAAATAATGAGAGGGCCTCTTTAAGTTTAAGTAAAGATTTGTAAAGCTTCTTTTACTGACATGGCAACAATTGCACATGCACTTTAGGTCCAACCATTGCCGTGACCATTGTTTTTCTATAGTGAGTTCGTGTGTGTTTTAGTGAGCTTATCTGGAGTGCGTGGGTGTGTGTGTGAGTGAGCTTGTCTGGTAATAGTTATAAATGTATAAATGTAGTTAAGTGAGGTGATATAGACCAAATTACATTTTACAAAACCAAATGAAATGAAGTTGTGATAGAGAAGGAGTTACAGAATGTAAAAGGTACTTCCCAATCAGTATGAAGCTTCATCGTTGTATTTCAGATCTTTCATGAAAATTGTGTCAGTTTTTCTAAATATAGTAAACCAGAAATGATTTATAGTAACAGTTTTTTTTTAAATCACAGTACCAGCAGAAACCTTGAAGGAACGTGACCAGAACAGAAGTATGCTAAGCAAGATTATGAAGAAATCTTTTAATAAAAGCAACAAGGATTCTAACTCTCAAAAATCAAGGGACCTCTTGGAATCCTGTATGTCTACAAATTGGATAATAAATGGAAAACCCCCCAAATTCCCATGTTCTGATTGTGGGAAATGTTTTAGCTGTCACTCAAGTCTAGTTATACATCAGAGAACTCACATAAGAGAGACACATTTTTCATGCCCTAAATGTGAGAAATGTTTTAGCCAACACTCTCACCTTGTTGTCCATCAGAGAATTCACACTGGGGGAAAACCTTTTTCATGCCCAGAATGTGGGAAATGTTTTGTCAGTAAACCAGTTTTGAAGAGACATCAGAGAACTCACACAGGAGAAAAACCTTTCTCATGTAATGAATGTGGGAAATGTTTTCTTAGTAAATCAGACCTTATCATACATCAGAGAACTCACACAGGAGAAAAACCTTTTTCATGTCCTGAATGTGGGAAATGTTTTAGCCGGAACTCACATCTTGTTGGTCACCAGAGAACTCACACAGGAGAGAAACCTTTCTCGTGTAGTGAGTGTAGGAAATGTTTTCTCAGTAAATCAGCTCTTAATAGACATCATTTAACTCACACAGGAGAAAAACCTTTTTCATGTTCTGAATGTGGGAAATGTTTTAGCCGGGACTCACATCTTGTTAGTCACCAAAGAACTCACACAGGAGAAAAACCTTTTTCATGTCCTGAATGTGGGAAATGTTTTAGCCAGAACTCACATCTTGTTGGTCACCAGAGAACTCACACAGGAGAGAAACCTTTCTCGTGTAGTGAGTGTGGGAAATGTTTTACTTGTCACTCAAGTCTTGTTGTTCATCAGAGAACTCACACAGGAGAGAAACCTTTTTCATGTCCTGAATGTGGGAAATGTTTTAGCCGGGACACTCATCTTGTTAGTCACCAAAGAACTCACACAGGAGAAAAACCTTTTTCATGCAATGAATGTGGGAAATGTTTTAGCCAGTACTTTATTCTTGTTAGTCACCAAAGAACTCACACAGGAGAAAAACCTTTTCCATGTCCTGAATGTGGGAAATGTTTTAGCTGGAAGTCACATCTTGTTAATCACCAAAGAACTCACACAGGAGAAAAACCTTTTTCATGTCCTGAATGTGGGAAATGTTTTAGGCGGGACACTCATCTTGTTAGTCACCAAAGAACTCACACAGGAGAGAAACCTTTTTCGTGTCCTGAATGTGGGAAATGTTTTAGCTGGAACTCACAGCTTGTTAGTCACCAAAGAACTCACACCGGAGAAAAACCTTTTTCATGTCCTGAATGTGGGAAACGTTTTAGCCATCATGGAAGTCTTATTAAACATCAGAGATTTCACACTGAATAGAAATGTTGTGTTCTGAATGTGAACACTGTTGTAGTTGCTTTTAAGCTTTTATGAGATATTGATGGATTAAATATCTTGTATTTTGATATTAGATATAATCTAATTTAGCAAATTGCGGTTTATATAAATATTGGTTTTACATTCGGTAACATCTTGGTGTGGAAATGTTAATTTTGGACTCCATGACCAATTCTTCTATCTTATTTTTATAGTCCCTCTGAACTTTTTTGTTAATGCTTTTACGTATTATACTCTTAATCGTATAGCTTCCTGGTAGAGACACAATTTAATAACCATTTGCTCTTCTATAAACAGGTTGTTGGAAAGATAGGGATATACTTATCATTTACCTTATCAAGTGCAATCAAAATGTTTCAAATAGGTCTATTAGATACTTTAATATCTTGATATTTAAGGTTCATAGATTCAAGATCTTAATCCGTACAGTATATGTTGGCTATCCATGACCATGATTGTATGTCTTGTATATGTAGTATGTTGTATTTGGTTTGATATGAAATTTTGTCACATGATGTTTTCAATATTCTCTTTCAATGTTGAGAAATTTGCATACCAAATTTTTGTTGGAATGAGAGTATTGAATTCTAATTTAGAACTATTATTTGTATGTTATATTTTTTAAAAACCAATAAAAAGAATTTAAAAAAAATTATTTTGAATGTGAGACACAGGGCTGCCATTAGGGCATGACTTATGCAAGGAGGAGACTATATTTAAAAAAAAAAAAAGAAAAACTACCACAACAAAAGGACATCGTCTTAAATTAGAGGGGCAAAGGTTTGAAAATAATATCAGGAAGTATTACTTTACTGAGAGGGTAGTGGATGCATGAAATAGCCTTCCAGCTGAAGTGGTAGACGTTAACACAGTAAAGGAGTTTAAGCATGCATGGGATATGCTTTAGGCTATCCTAACTAAAAAAAATGGGCAGACTATATGGGCAGAATGGTTCTTATCTGCCGTCACATTCTATGTTTCAATAGCTATAGCCATCTTCTATTAAAAACCATATGTATAAGGGTAAATTGCCTAATTCAAATCATAATCTCTAAACAAAATATATATATAGAGGAGAGAATAAAAACAAAGTTTATAGACAGAAGGCACAACTAATTAAAATATTAAAATATATAGGAAGATATAACCATAAAAGGGGGTAGATGCACTAAACAGTGCTAAAATATAAACCTCAGAAATCCAGAATCCCAAAATGGTATTACTTTTATAATTGAAAAATATATTTATTATATATTAAAATGTGTATAAAATATCAAGGATAAACATTGGCATGGGTGACTAAAAAAGATGAAAAAGAAAAATTTAAATATGGAAAAAATAAAGATTCATCTTTAAAAAAATTATATAATTGAAAATCGTTGTTAGAACCGGATGGGACCAACAACTCCAGTTGGAAAATCAATTTCATCTCCTCCTGTCCGATCTTACGAATAAAATCACCCCCTCTCCGGTCTCGCACTACTTTTTTAATACCTATAAATTCCAATCCTTTTGCATCTTGTACATGCATTTTCTTAAAATGTTCTGACACACTGTGACTTTCCACCCCCCTCTTTATGTTATAAATATGTTCTCTGATCCTTATGTAGAGAGGACATGTCGTCCTTCTCACATATTCTAGTTTGCATGGACACTTAAATAAATAAATGTCATTGTTGCTATAGAAGGTAATGTGTTCCAGAAGGTTGAACTCTTTCTGTGTCCTTTCTGATTTGAATTTTGTCACTACACTTCCCTGTATAGGATTCAGATTTTCACATGCGCAACACATCCTACATCTGTAAAAACCAATGGGTGAGCTCTCGCCGGTCCTAGAAAATTAATCGCTAGCGTTTTAACACTTCCTTTTAAATAACTCTGCACTAATGTACTTTTTAAATTAGGGGCACCTTGAAAAGTCATTTTCGGTTTAGATGGTAGTAGCTCACTCAAGTCCCTATCAATTTTTAATATAGGCAGAACTTATTGATAGTTTTAAAAAAAAAAAAAAACATTTGTGTTGGTTGTTAAAATCAAACACTTAAACCTCATTCTTGATCTTTCCTATTTACTCTGTTTTTGCATCAATTCTGCTTGTGGAAGAGGCTTCCCTTCATTGAGGGTTTTTTCTAAAATATCTTCTGGATATACAGGGAGTGCAGAATTATTAGGCAAGTTGTATTTTTGAGGATTAATTTTATTATTGAACAACAACCATGTTCTCAATGAACCCAAAAAACTCATTAATATCAAAGCTGAATATTTTTGGAAGTAGTTTTTAGTTTGTTTTTAGTTATAGCTATGTTAGGGGGATATCTGTGTGTGCAGGTGACTATTACTGTGCATAATTATTAGGCAACTTAACAAAAAACAAATATATACCCATTTCAATTATTTATTATTACCAGTGAAACCAATATAACATCTCAACATTCACAAATATACATTTCTGACATTCAAAAACAAAACAAAAACAAATCAGTGACCAATATAGCCACCTTTCTTTGCAAGGACACTCAAAAGCCTGCCATCCATGGATTCTGTCAGTGTTTTGATCTGTTCACCATCAACATTGCGTGCAGCAGCAACCACAGCCTCCCAGACACTGTTCAGAGAGGTGTACTGTTTTCCCTCCTTGTAAATCTCACATTTGATGATGGACCACAGGTTCTCAATGGGGTTCAGATCAGGTGAACAAGGAGGCCATGTCATTAGATTTTCTTCTTTTATACCCTTTCTTGCCAGCCACGCTGTGGAGTACTTGGACGCGTGTGATGGAGCATTGTCCTGCATGAAAATCATGTTTTTCTTGAAGGATGCAGACTTCTTCCTGTACCATTGCTTGAAGAAGGTGTCTTCCAGGAACTGGCAGTAGGACTGGGAGTTGAGCTTGACTCCATCCTCAACCCGAAAAGGCCCCACAAGCTCATCTTTGATGATACCAGCCCAAACCAGTACTCCACCTCCACCTTGCTGGCGTCTGAGTCGGACTGGAGCTCTCTGCCCTTTACCAATCCAGCCACGGGCCCATCCATCTGGCCCATCAAGACTCACTCTCATTTCATCAGTCCATAAAACCTTAGAAAAATCAGTCTTGAGATATTTCTTGGCCCAGTCTTGACGTTTCAGCTTGTGTGTCTTGTTCAGTGGTGGTCGTCTTTCAGCCTTTCTTACCTTGGCCATGTCTCTGAGTATTGCACACCTTGTGCTTTTGGGCACTCCAGTGATGTTGCAGCTCTGAAATATGGCCAAACTGGTGGCAAGTGGCATCGTGGCAGCTGCACGCTTGACTTTTCTCAGTTCATGGGCAGTTATTTTGCGCCTTGGTTTTTCCACACGCTTCTTGCGACCCTGTTGACTATTTTGAATGAAACGCTTGATTGTTCGATGATCACGCTTCAGAAGCTTTGCAATTTTAAGAGTGCTGCATCCCTCTGCAAGATATCTCACTATTTTTGACTTTTCTGAGCCTGTCAAGTCCTTCTTTTGACCCACTTTGCCAAAGGAAAGGAAGTTGCCTAATAATTATGCACACCTGATATAGGGTGCTGATGTCATTAGACCACACCCCTTCTCATTACAGAGATGCACATCACCTAATATGCTTAATTGGTAGTAGGCTTTCGAGCCTATACAGCTTGGAGTAAGACAACATGCATAAAGAGGATGATGTGGTCAAAATACTCATTTGCCTAATAATTCTGCACTCCCTGTAGTTTTTCCCTAAATTTGTTCAGGAGGTCATTTGCCTGCCTAAAAACAACAGGTGCTGGCAAGTTTCCGTAATGCGGTGGCATATGCTGAAACAGATTCACCAGGCTCTTGCCTTCTTTTATAGAATTTAAATCTCTCTGCTATTTCTAGTGGTTTTGGTTGGAAATGGCCATTTAACAGAGTAATCAATGGCTTGCTGGCAGGTTTCTCTGGCTTCTATAACTGTTAGGAAAACAGCGACCTGTTTCACGAATATAATTAGCTGTGAAATATTATTCAAGTCTTTCAACCCAGGACACCCATAAAAGCCACTGTGATGTTTTGTATAAATCAGTCAATAATTCCTGTATAATGAAGTACTCACTTTATTAATACATATACAGTGCCTTGCAAAAGTATTCACCCCCCTTGACTTTTTACCTATTTTGTTACATTACAGCCTTAAGTTCAATGTTTTGTTAATCTGAATTTTATGTGATGGATCAGAATACAATAGTCTAAGTTGAAGTGAAATGAAATATATATACATAAAACTATTTTTTAGAAATAGAAAACAGAAAATTGGCACGTGCGTATGTATTCACCCCCTTTGTTATGAAGCCCATAAAAAGCTCTGGTGCAACCAATTACCTTCAGAAGTCGCATAATTAGTGAAATGATGTCTACCTGTGTGCAATCTAAGTGTCCCATGATCTGTCATTACATATACACACCTTTTTTGAAAGGCCCCAGAGGCTGCAACACCTAAGCAAGAGGCACCACTAACCAAACACTGCCATGAAGACCAAGGACCTCTCCAAACAAGTAAGGGACAATGTTGTTGAGAAGTCAGGGTTAGGTTATAAAAAAATATCCAAATCTTTGATTATCCCCACGAACACCATCAAATCTGTCATAACCAAATGGAAAGGACATGGCAAACAGCAAACCTGCCAAGAGAAAGCTGCCCACCAAAACTCATGGACTGGGCAAGGAAGGCATTAATCAGAGAGGCAGCACAGAGACCTAAGGTAACCCTGGAGGAGCTGCTGAGTTCCACAGCAGAGACTGGAGTATCTGTACATTGGACGACAATAAGTCGTACGTTCCATAGAGTTGGGCTTTATGGCAGAGTGGCCAGAAGAAAGCCATTACTTTCAACAAAAAACAAAATGACATATTTTGAATTTGACATCTGTATACAAGGTAATTATGAATGGTTTGTTATTTAAACTGGTTATTTGTGTTGCACTTATATCCTGACGAAAGTTCTGATACAGAACTAAAACGTTGATCCACTGTGGCAGGTGTTTTTTCAACTTTATTACAAAGTCCTTGGAGTGCTATCTTTCTACAAGACTGCTATAAGGTTTGCTGATAAGCACTGAGGGATCTCCCCCCAGACCTGGACTAAAGCATCTGCCAACTCCTGGACAGTCTGTGGTGCAACGTGACGATGGTGGATGGAGCAAGACATGATGTCCCAGATGTGCTCAATTGGATTCAGGTCTGGGGAACGGGTGGGACAGTCCATAGCATCAATGCCTTCGTCTTACTGGAACTGCTAACACACTCCAGCCACATGAGGTCTAGCATTGTCTTTTGTGACGAGACCAATCTCGCCACTGTGCATTGGACAAGCCTGGTTGCCTGCCTGCTGCCTTTTGACTATGGACCGACATTTAAATACTCTATTTTCCTATGCAGAAAGGTCTATTCATGTATTTCTGCCATGGCGTTCGGTAGATTCTCGGATTTACTAAATGAACTCATTTAACACAGATAGCTATGCCATGGAGCCTATTCGTGTAATAAAAGACTTTGGCTCCATGGCAATTGAACTGTATGTGTGTGGTCTGAGCGCCATTCAGTAATAATGTGCGTTTAGACATACGCTAT